ATTCACTATAGATGCCAAAAGATCTGGCATTTTCAATGAGAGATGTTTCACGCTTATGCAATAGTCATTTATCACAGAAGCTCTAAGATGCAATCTGGAAAGATTTACTAAATCTCTGCCTCTTTTTGACATTTTTTTATTATTAAAATTCTAAAATCTATAAATCTATGCTTTCACTGCATGGAGCACCAGTCAGTAGCGTGCCTTGCCTCACATTATCCATGTCAAAACTTGAGTCATGTGAAAGAGGGATCCTAGGGCACCTGTGCTCAGAACAAGGAATGTTAAATGCTGAGTAGGTACCACTTAGTCAGTTTTGCCAGGAGCTGTATGCTAAATGCTTTTCATAAAATACCTAATTTAACCCTCCAGATGACTCTGTGTGTTATTTTCACAGTTTTACCTGGAAAGAAACTGAAACTTGGAAAATTCAAGCAATTTATTGAAAGTCAGGACTAGCTGAGCCAGGAATCTTCTTATCCACCACTGAACAGTTTGCCCCTCACACCAAGGAATCACATTTTCTAGTACTTCAAATGGGTTGTTTTGGGAAAGAAGGAACATCTAATGGTGCTTAACTTGTAGAAACCTTCCTGTCCAGGTTAGTTTAGGTCGGCGGTTCTCAAATTTAAGTGTGCAAGAGAATACCTGGGAGGGCTTGTTAACACAGATTGCTGTAACCCATCCCACAGGGTTTGATTTTCAGTAGGTCTAAGGTGGGGTCGAGAATCTGCAATTCTAACAAGTTCTGGGGTGATACTGATACTGCTGGGTAGGGGACTACACTTTTTTTTTTAATTGTGCTTTAAATGAAAGTTTACAATTCAAGTTAGTCTCACGTACAAAAATTTATACATACATTGTTACGTGACCCTAGTTGCTCTCCCTATACTGTGACAGCACACTCCTCTCCACCCCGGATTTCCCATGACCATTCAACCAGCTCCTGACCGTCTCTGCCTTCTCACCTCACCTCCAGACAGGAGCTGCCCATTTAGTCTCCACTTTAGCTAAGCAGCACACTCTTCACAGTATCATTTTATGTCCCAAAATCCAGTCTAATCTTTGTCTAAAGAGTTGGCCCCAGGAATGGTTTCAGTTTTGGGCTAACAGAGTCCGAAGGCCATGTCTTCCCGGGTCCCTCCAGTCTCAATCAAACCATTAAGTCTGGTCTTTTTACTAGAATTTGAGTTCTGCACCCCACTTCTCTCCTGCTCTGTCAGAGACTCTCTGTTATGTTCCCTGTCAGGGCAGTCATTGGTGGTAGCCAGGCACCATCTACTTCTTCTGGTCTCAGGCTGATGACATCTCTGGTTTATGTGGCCCTTTTCTGTCTTTTGGGCTAATACCTTCCCTGTGTCTTTGGTGTCCTTCATCCTCCTTCGCTCCAGGTGTGTTGGGACCAATTCATGCATCTTAGAAGCCTGCTCGCCAGCTTTTAAGACCCCACACGCCACTCACCAAAGTGGGATGCAGAACATTTTCTCAGTAAACTTTGTTATGCCAATTGACCTAAATGTCCCCTGAAACCATGGGGACCACACTCTTGAGAACCATTGTTTTCGAGGCTGTAATTTTAAATCTACTGGGAAAAATGTTGGTCGGGAAGAGCCATAACTCCTTCCGTTTTTTAGAAACCTGGGCTTAACTTTTCCCCAGCAACTCAGTCACCAAACTGTGTGTTCTGAAATACTAGAACCTAACCTCCGCCCTGGGGTGAGGGCCCCACTTCGTGCACCCTGGGAGGCCTGCGAACAGCTATCCACTCTCCCGTTCCTCTGTGATCCATTGCTTTCTCTGTCCGTCTACCAACACCCCCACCCCCATGTGTACAGCCGTG